CTCTAACAAAAGTTGCGGTGCACCCCGCGTTGAACTCTCCTGTACACCCCGCAGTGTAACCAGGGGTGCACCGAAAAGTCCAACGCGGGGTGCACCGAATCCTCATTTTTTCAATTTTTGCTTCTTGCACTTTTAAAATACCTTTATACTTCTATATCCCATATATATCATCAATTGAGACCACTTTTCAATTTATATGTTTTATTAAATGATAAATCACATAATAAGACAATGAAACAAAATAAAACAAAAAAAATTACAGCGAATAAATAGGGAATTTGAACAATATTCGAGGATAGACAATTTCATTTACAAGATTTATAAAGAAAAATAACAACGTTTACAAAATTTGAGAAAGAAAAAAGGTCTCTAGAGCTGTTTTTCTGCGCCTTCTCCCCTTTTTTTCTAAGCATCTAGCCAACTTTAGACCAAAAATCGTGAGAGCATGTTAAAAAAAGTAGACATAAATCGAAAAAAATTGATAGAAACTGAAAAATTAAATCAGGAGAAAGAAATTGAATAATAAGAGAATACAACAGAAAAGAGTGGATAGTACTGAAGAAAAATTAGGCAAAAAAACAGAACAGGCTTCATAACACTTACAAAGTTGACTGGTAATATTTAACACATGATTTCCGAGAAATTTTATGAACTGGGAAATTAATTGGTACAATAATTTTGAAAATTATGATTTTTTGAGCATAAATTCATATCACATACTATTAAACCTTTTTTATTTCAGGCACCGAAACGCTCCGCACACTTTTAGAGCTACTAAGACAAAATTACTGTAAGAAGCTAACTTTTTTCCTCGTAAAGCGTTTCGCTTCTAAAATGTCCTTTGGAAACATCAATTGTGTTGGCAAAATGACGACTTCCGCAGTTGTTATAGCTCTATAAAAAAACCGGGACCTCAGATGGCCTTGATTTTTTTATACACTAAATTTTTTTATACGGAGCTTTTTCGGTACTTGTTTACATGAGTTTAAAAAAATTTGCATAGTATCTTTGATATGAACTTCAGCTAAAAAAATCTTTTAAAATTATTCATCAAAATTATCACCAACGTATATTCGAAAATTTCGGAGAACGTGTGTTCAAATTTTTTTAAAAACATTGTCAGTATGTTTTTCTCTTTTTTTCGAACGATACTTAAAGATGGAAATTATTTTCATAGCGAGCTAGATGTGAATAAAAAACGTCGGAAAAGCTGAAAAAGGATAAGTTGTCCAATTTGATCTTTTGACTTGTGCCAACTTCACGTTAAGCCTTCTCTAAACATATTCACTAAGAATAACTGCCAAGATAAACGCGATACACTGGCGGTTATCAACAAACTCGCAAAAATGTCGCATTTTTCTCGGCGCGACCTTGCATTTCGAACATTTTCAAATTGCGAGAGAAATGCGAGCTCGCGCCCAGAAAAATGCGAAACCGGCGAGAGAGTAGAACCTAGTGTTTGCGAGTTCGTCAATGTTGATTCCAAATGTGTTCTCAAAAACTATCGCGGATGTCTGGGAAAAAGTTACGGACCCTCAAATCACATTCGCCTCTCTTTTCTCACGGCGAACGGTCGGTCCTTCATTGCTCTCTCTTCATCTTCCCGTCTTCCCTATGGCGCCTACCAAAAGATTGAAGCTTTCGCCTTCTATCGCTCCTATCCGGGCTCGATACTCAGCTAAGGACCAAATCGCCGATGTCCTTAAACAACTCGCCGCTACTAACAAGACTGTTGCCAATTTGGTCACTTCGGTTGCTGCCATTGCTCATTCTCTCGCAGTTCTTCAAACCTCTCTGGCGTCTCATGGCTCTTCTGCCCCTGGTCCGCGTCCTCCTTCCAACGCCAACGCTCCTTCTACCTCCGGTTCCTATGCTGCTGCCGCTTCCACTTCTGGCTCATCTACGACTTCACCTCTTGTCCTTGGTTCTTTGGTTGGTCCGCTGTCGTCTTCCGTTGGTCCGTTAGCGTCTTCCGTTGGCCAGCCGTCGGTCCAAACGTGTTCCACAAGCGTTTGGACTCGTCCGAATCCTAATCGAGATGTCCATGCTCTAGCTCAAGAGCCGCCGTCGTTGCCGCGTTTGAATTTTGTTTCTGACAATTCCAGTTTTTCTGAACTTGCTGCTTTACCTGATGAAGCCTTATATTCTATGATTAACCGACTTTCCATGACTGAAACTTACGTGTCTAAATCTTTCTCAGCTGTTTTAGAGAAATTGGAAGATTCTGGTGATTCGAGCCAAGATCCTAAGGATCTTCAACTTATTAACTCTATTTGCTCTCAAATCGGCCTGCCTCTTCCAGTTTCTGTTCACAGACATGATTGCAAATCTCTCCCCCGTCCGTTAAAAATCAAGTTTTGTTCTACTGATAATCGTAACCAGTTTATTTTCAAATGCCGTCGTGCCATTTTCGCCATTTATCAAAACCAACCTGCTCCTTATTTTCGTGTTCGCCGTGACTTGACTCTACCTGAACTTGTGCTTCTCAGACGTGTCCGACATCGTGTATATTTATTGAATCTTGAAAAACCGAACTCTTTTTATGTTCGTGATTTGTCCATTGCAAGAAAAAGTTTCTATTCTGGCTCCAGAACTCGGTCTCCTCCTAACTCTAATCCTGTCAATGCTAATGCTAATTGTATTTCTGTCAATCATACTAATTATTCAGTTAACAATATAACTCCTGTAAATTCTCTTCCTATTTCTGTGAATAATTCTCCTCCTTCTGCTTTTGACACTTACATGGCGTCTCCAACTCCTCATGTTTGATAACTATGACTCATCCTTTACGGGTTTTTCGAAAACGTTTACCGGTTTTTCTAACACGTATTTCGCGTTTCCCTCTCCTAGCACTCTGGTCTCTCCTCCCTCGTTGCCCTCTCTCGTCTCCCCTCTGTCTACCAATCTTTCTCCTCCTCCCTCCTCTTTTCTATCGCTTACTCATTTTCCTCCCTCGAGTGCTTCTAATGGCTTGAAAATTTTGCTCTCTAACATTAGATCACTTCGTTCTCCTAGTAAAATTGCTTTACTTTTTGAATATCTCTCTTCTAACTCCATCGATGTCGGTTTTTTCTGTGAGACTTTTCTTTCTGCTGATTTCCCTGATTCTTTATTTAACAATTCAACTTACAGTTTTATTCGGCGAGATCGTTTAAGCTCATCTGGTAGGAGCTCCGGTGGAGGCGTCATCATATTTTTCCGGAAGTGCTTACCTGTCGTTGAAGTGGATTCTCTACAGGAAAGGTTTTATAATACCCATTTCTGCGATCTTCTTTGTATTGATTTGGTTCTCTCCAATACTCAAAAATTTCGTCTCTTTGTTGTTTATAGGCCTCCTTCTTGTACTTCCTCCCATTCTTCTAATTTATTTGATCATCTATCACGTCTCATCACTCCTTCTAATTGTATTATCCTAGGTGATTTCAACTTTCCGAACGTTGATTGGATTAATTTTTGGCTCCTCCAATAACTCCTGTCAAATTACTAACTTCTGCCTAAGTTATGATTTCCGTCAATTTGTCCTGTCTCCCACTCGATCCACAGTCCATTCTTCAAATATTTTTAGATCTTGTACTCTCCAATTCTCATAACATTATCACTAATCTGAACGTTATTGAGCCTCTTCTTGGTTCTGACCATAATTCTGTGTTTTTCAATCTCGAATCGGCCTATGTCAGTCCTGCCACTACCTTTTCCAAACGTCTCAACTTCAAGAAATGCAATTTTAATATTATCAATCGAACCATTTCTTCACTTAATTGGGACAGGCAATTCAGTTATTTTTCTACTATTGATTCCAAACTAAAGCATTTTCTCACAATATTTAACGAATTAATCGCTGATAACTGCCCTTTTTTCCCTTTTCCTCTCCTTAACCGCAACCCTTTTAATTCCGATCGTAGGATTCGTAGACTGTTACGTAGAAGATATCTTTTAATTAGACTTGGTCTTTTTTCCCATGCTACTCGCAGTTCTTTCAATATGATTGTTAAAAAAATCCGAAAACGTGCAGCTTTGATTCTTCGCAAACAACATATTAAAATTTCTAATACTTTCAACTGCTCCAAACTCTCTAAATTCATATCTCGATCGCTCAAAACTGACTCTGGCATCCCTAACTTATATTATAATGATAACTTTGTCACGGAAGATGTATCTAAAGCCGATCTCTTCTCATCTGTTTTCTCCTCTAACTTTTCACATTTGATTCACCCAACATTTCCTGTTTTACCCTCACCTCGTCCTACCGATTGTTCTATCAACTTCACACCTGAAACGATTTTTAAAACTCTTTCTAATCTTCCACCTAAATGCGGTTATTCTTCTGATAATATCAACTATTTTGTCCTAAAAAAGTGCTCTGTTTCTATTTCTCTTCCACTTTCTATTATTTTCCAGGAATCTTATCTAACCGGTATCACTCCTTCATTATTTAAGTCTACTATAGTTATTCCTGTGCATAAAAAAGGTAGTCTTTCTGATCCAAATAACTTTCGCCCCATATCTCTCACTCATCCAATTTCTCGTGTATTTGAACGCATCATTACTCAAATGATAAGATCTCGTTTTTTTCTGAAAAAAAATTCTCTCAATTCCAATTCGGCTTTCTCAATCGTAGGTCATGCAAACTTTCTCTAATCAGCTCCCTTTCCTCCATTCAAAAAAATCCTTGGCATCTAATCTTCCTATCGATGCTGTTTATTTCGATTTTTTTCCAAAGCCTTCGATAAAGTAGATCATAACCTTTTTAGGCCTAAAGATGTCCAATTTCGGCTTTAATGATACTCTCTGTCGCTGGTTCTCCAATTTTTTATCTAACCGTTCCTCCATTGTAAAAGTTAACAACTCGTTTTCTAACAATTCTTTTTCTAATCCTTCGGGTGTACTTCAAGGGACGGTCAGCGGCCCCCTTCTCTTTCTCGTTTTCATCAATGATATTGAAAATTTTATTGATCCTCAATCCTCGATCTCTATCTTTGCTGATGACCTCAAGGTTTATAGCTCTTGCCCTGATTCGCTTCAAAGAAGCATAAATGGTATTTTCCAATGGTCAGAACTTTGGTCTCTTCCACTTGCTGTTGAAAAAGACTTTTTTTCTCTTCACTTTGGCTCTAACAATCCTCAAACGGTCTATTTTTCTTGATCAATTTCAAATCCCACAAAGATCAATTGTTCGTGATCTAGGCCTTCAAATTGATGAGAAGCTCTCCTTCAAAGACCATATTTCCCGTATCTCTGCCTTTGCTACATTACGGTCTAATCAAATACTAAATACCTTTAAGTTTTTCTTCCCCCTGCACTACCTCAGAATGTTTCAAACCTACGTGACGCCTATTCTCGAATATTGTAGTGAAATCTTTTTCTCCCTCTATCTCGTCTGAGGAATGCTTCAAACTCGAGTCTTCTCTACGCCAATTCAGTAGAAAAGTTTTTTTATAAGATGCAATGTTCGCTTCAGTTCTTATTCTGATCGTCTCAGCCAATTTGGCTTTTAAACCTCTCTTTGTACGTCGTTGTATTAACGACATTATTTCTCTTCATAAAAATAATTTGCGGCTCTGACCACTTTCTCAATCGCAATGACTTCTTCACTATTTCTCCTTTACAGAGGAATCCACTTCGACTTCGCACTTCCGGTCAGTTCTCTAAAGATTTTTTTTCCAAAACTATTCCATTATGGAATAAACTTACCTCTAGAATAAATTTTTAACGTCTCTACGGATGCGCTACGGGTTAAACTTAATGATCTCCCTAACTCTGCCTTTTTCGAATCCATTCCTTCCCGTTTGCTCTGACTTCCTTTCTATCCCCGGGTCATAGTCTACTCGTTAGGGTGGACTAATTCCCGTTTTGGTTATTCTGCTGCTTTCGTATTCTGAACTATTTTATTTATTATTTTCCAACAGTATGCAGTGAATAAACCTATTATTATTAAAGCGGATAATTTCACTGTCTCCGCTTGAGCTTATTCTTGGAGGACATATAGATCTTGACCCTCTGGTCTCAAAAAAGCTTTTATTTTCGAAAAAAAAACTTTGGGCGTATTCTAAAGCTCCGCACATGATAAGAGAATGCGCGCGCGCGGTTTTCTCATATCTGGGCTTCAAAACTTTTTGAAAAAAACAGTAATTGGTTTTATGTTGTCAAAGGGACAAGATCTATAACCTCCAAAAATGAGCGCAATCGGGGAAAATGAAGTTTTCGACTTTTGAGGGTACATAACTTATTTCCCAAATTTCCGCGACCGTTTTTCGAAACCAGATTTTTTTGATAAGCGTGAAAAAAACTATGTCTAGAAAACTTGGTCTCATTCCGATGCCCCACTGCGACTAGAGACCATTCCCTGGTATATTTCGACGAAATTCGCGAAGATTACTAGCATAGTCAGTTCAAAAATGAATCAATTATTTTTTTCAAACTACGCGCTCTTAAAAAAATTTAATTTTTTTCGTCTGCTAAAAAGGACAAACTCTTCCAATGTCAACTATTCAAACTTTTCATCAGCTATTAAAGAACAAAACAAAAGAATAAAAAAGTAACGGCTAAGTTACTCTGCTCCCCTTATTCGACTGCACTCCTTCTGTTTGTCATGAATCAGGATCAAGTCGTACGGCTATCTGAAATTAATACAAAACTAAAATGCAAAGCTTTAAAAAAATTACCTTCATATTATATGCGTTTTCTCTCTCTTCCTCGATGGTCATAAATTTATTCTCTTCAAATGAACCTGAAACGCATTTTTTTTTTTCACAAATAATCGCGAAAAGTTAGCGAAACAAATAAGTTTAAAAATATTTACTTTTAAGAACAAACCGTTTTTTTTCAACTAAAATCTACAATAGTTTTTTTAATTTTTGATAGTTTCTCAAAAAAATTGCTTGCTGGACTCGAAAAAAATTGAAAAAAATATGTCGAGGCAAAAAAATAATTTTGGCTTTGCAAGATTTCTGCACATTTGAAAGACTCAAAAAAAGCATTTTTCCAGCGAACTATTTAGCAAAAATCAATGCGCAAGCCTTGATTACCTGACAACTTAAAAAAATGAAATGTTCAATACAGCTTTTTAGACTAAATTGAACAAAAAAACCTTCAAAAAGGTTGGAATAAAAAAACCGATTCGAAATGTTCAATTCAAAAAAAGTTACATGAGCTTTTTGGAAGCAAGATTACTTTTTTTATCCATCATTTCCAGAAGTTTGCGATCGAAAAAAATATAATTAAACAACGAATTTTGTATTTCAAAAAAAATGTCTCAAAACATTTGCCAATAAGAATAATAATAAGAAGAAGAAACTCATATGAAACTACTTCCATAAACTCACTAGTAATGTTAAAACATCGAATAATAGAAAAACACGAAAAAAAGCGAGTGATAATAAATTAAAACAAATAAAAAAACAATGAAAACTTCAAATTTCGTAACTTGAAATTTGAAAAACACGTTGTTCGGAACATCGTTCCAGATGACCGAGGGTGCACCGAGTTTTTCAAATTTTCGGTGCACCGAAAACATCAACGCGGGTGCACCCAATCGCGCTGAGTTCAACGAGGGGTGCACCCCGATAGCCGGTTCGACGCGGGGTGCACCGCAACTTTTGTTAGAGTCGTGTTACTTTTAGCGTGGTCACGTACGT